ATCTAACGGTCTCACTCAATCAGAAGGTGGGAAATATATAAATCTAGTCAGCTAAAAAGGTTTGAAATGTATTCAACACACATGTATAGAGAAAATGGTGCATTGGCCAGGTCGAACAGTATCGGAACTTAAAATGCAAATACCAGGGAGAACGGAAGCGCCCAGATCTCGCATAGTACACGGAATCAAGTGGTCTCACTCAAATAGAAAGTAGGAAATATATTCATCTGTGAAAGGAATGAACAGGAATGAATTGACTAAGTCAGAGTTGGGTACAAATACAACCCTAGCAAACTGTACCCCATATGTGCTACCCCACTACAGCCTACAAACATGCATCAGCTATAATAATCTGACACACCCCCATAGGCAAAGTGGGGGAGAACAAGGGGTCACAAGACCAGTCAAGCAAAGCAAAGCAAGCTCAGGGTGGATCACAAAGTCACCACACAGTCCGAGCACAAGAGCAAGGCCAGAGGCCAGTTCACATGCAGGAGTACAGACATATATATAAAACTAGACAAGCAAGAGCAGGTATATATATGTCAAAGTACAAGTAAAGTCAAGAAGAGAGCAAGTGAGGCAAGACAGGTACAAGACCCAGCTGGGTACAAAAGCGCTGATGGTCGCAAGGCGCAAGTGCCTTGGTGAACACATCAGCAGTGTTGGCCTCAGAGGCCACGTAAGCAAGTCGCAACTGACCACGCTGCTGCAGCTCACGAGCAAGGAAGTAGCGGAGAGCAATGTGCTTCGTTCTGTGCTCCAAGCGCTGCTCTCGACACAAGGCCAACATGGCCTTGTTGTCTACGTACAGCACTGGAGGAGAACGAGGCAGCTCTCCAAGGTCAGTCAGCAGGTAGGTGAGCCAGCGAAGCTCCTGTGCAGCCATGGCCCCGGCGTAGATCTCAGCCTCACAACTGGAGCCGAGAACCGAAGACGAGCTAGTAGACCGCCACGAGACAGAGCCGGAACCAAGGCTGAAGGTGTAACCCTGTGACGACCGCTGCGTAGCCTGGTCGTCAGCCCAAGAAGCGTCTGCGTGCCCAGTAAGGACCACTGGACTCCGCCCTCCAAGCACTAGCCCCATGCCCGACGTACTGCACAGGTAGCGCAATACCCTCTTCGCTGCAGCCATGTGCTCTGGTCGGTGTCTCCCAGGAGCAACATAGCGTGCAAGGATGCTCAGAGGGTATGCAAGGTCAGGTCGTGTGCAGGTCATCAGGTACATGAGGCAGCCAACAAGCTCTGCATACGGACCACTCGACTCTACGGACTCATCCGAAGGCAGAGCTGAGAGTGAGTGGCGAGTAGGCAGAGGAGTGGCCTGAGGCGAGGAGTACGTGAAGCCGAAGCGCTGAAGGACCTGCTGCACCATGTGTGACTGAGTCAGGGTAATGGTGCGGCGTGCTCTGTCCCGAGTGATCTGCAAGCCAAGGTAGCTGCGCAGTTCACCCAGGTCTGTGCACGTGTGTCTCTTCAGCAGCTCGGACTTCACGTAGGCGAGTCCAGCAGTGTCCGCTGTGGCAAAGACCAAGTCGTCGACGTACACGAGGATGTAGAACGGCGGCAGGGAAGTGTCGGTGCGAAGAAACAGCGACGGGTCAGCAGTAGAAGGAGCAAACCCAAGAGCCGCAAGCGTAGTCCTCAGTGTGTCGTGCCACTCACGCGGTGCCTGGCGGAGACCGTAGACTGGCCGTCGGAGGCTCCACTGGGTGCCAGGAGGGAAAGTCCCAGTGAAGCCAGGCGGACGGCGCAGCCAGATCTCCTCGTGCAGGCTACCCTGCAGGAACGCAGTGCTGAAGTCGAGAGAGTGAAGCTCGTAGTCGCGCTGAGCGGCAATGTGCAGCAGCACCCGAAGAGTGGTCATCTTCGGGGTGGGAGAGAAGGTCTGAAAGTAGTCAACTCCCTGCCGCTGACTGAAGCCACGAGCCACGTAACGCGCCTTGAAGACAGGCGGCGAGCCCGGCGGCCGCTTCACCCTGAAGATCCACATGCCACTGACGATGTTCGCCCCAGGAGGGGGAACCGCGTCAACGTAGGTGCCTGTGGACTTCCAGGAAGCCATCTCTGCATCCATAGCTGCCTGCCACTGAGAGGAGTAGGGACCCTCTACGGCCTCCGCGTAAGAACGCGGAGTCGGGATGTCTAGTGCATCCGGGTCTCCCTCAGGGGCTAGCAGTACAGACGCGAGACGAGGTGAAGCAGCGGCTAGACACTGTAACTCCTCCTGCCTGTCCTCTAGGACGTCCGTGCCAAGGGCACACTCACCCCCGACGGACGGAGGACAGGCGGACTCAGACTCAGCGACAAGACGAGCAGCGTAGTCTAGACGACAGCGCGCAGCAAAGTCGACAAGCTCAGTGACAAGGGCAGACGCAGCAGACGACTCGAAGGAAGGGTCAGTGACAGCAGTAGCAAGGAGACGCGTGACAGTAGGACTGGCAGCACGAAGAGAGTCCGACTCCGGGTCGGCAAGAGCAGGAAGAGAGGAAGCAGGAGGAGAAGGCAAAGGGGCACGCAGAGGAGCAGTGGACGGACGCAGTGACATCCGGTGCGTGCCAGGGACAGGAGGAGGACGCTGACGCGACCCGCGACCACTAGCGCGCTCAGTACGAACAGGCGACGCAGGACGAGACGTAGGCTCACGACGCTCAGTAAGGCCTCCAGTCGGACCAGCGTAGGGAGAAGGAGCAGGCAAAGGGGAGGCAGGCTCTAGCTGTGGCTGTGACCGGACAGGCTGCGGACCCTCTAAGGGAGGAGGAGGAGGAGCAAGACCAAGAACCTGCTCCAGGAGCGGAACGAAGTACGGTCGAGACCGCGCGGCGACGCCAGAAACAGCAGGAACAGAACCAGCAGCTCCGGCCGGAGCACCCACTCCAGCAGCACCTCCAGCAGAACCACCAGAAGCTCCAGAACCTCCAGCAGCAGCACCAGGAGCACCGTCAGTCGGACCACCAACCGCAGGCTCAGCGTCAACGTCCCCAGCAGGACCAGCTCCAGGAGAACCCTCAGACCCAGCAGCTCCAGCACCCACAGGACGAGCACCGCCAGGTCGCGTGGCAGCAGCGCCCTCCGCAGCCGAAGAACCACCAGCACCAGCGGCACGCCTCCAGCGCCGGGCAAACCACTCACGCAGCTCCTGTGGAGAGAGCGGCTCCCGGCGAGACGAAGCACCCCCAGGCACAGCACCTCCAGGCTCGGCACCTCCAGGCTCAGCACCCCCAGGCTCAGCACCCCCAGGCTCAGTACCCCCAGACACAGCACCCCCAGGCTCAGCACCCCCAGGCCCAGCACCCCCAGACTCCGCACCCCCAGGCTCAGCACCCCCAGGCTCAGCACCCCTAGACTCCGCACCCCCAGGCTCAGCTCCCGCAGCAGCACCGGAGTCACCAGTGACCTCGACAGGCTCGACCGCGTCTACCTGAGACACACCTGAAGGGGCAGGACCCTGAGGGGGGAGGGGGACTACTGGGGGGGGACCTGGTACCAAGAAGAGCGGGGGTGGGGGGAGGGACGGAGTGCGGTAGGGGAAGAGGCGGTAGTAGGGTACCGACTCGTCGAACGTGACGTCCTGGGAGGACAGAACACGTCGAGAGGTGGGGTGGTAAAACTGCCACCCAGGGGCGTCGGGGGGGAACCCGAGGAAGACGCAGGGAGAAGCACGAGGGGACAGCTTGTCCGCAGACAGGTCGCGAACAAACGCCCGAGATCCCCAGACCCGGAACGCCGACGCATCGCCAACCTTCCCCGTCCACAACAGAGCTGGGGAGGTCTCCGGTCGAGAGACCCTGGGGTGGAGGTTGATCTGGTGCGCAGCGTACCTGACCGCAAACGGCCACAGAAAATGGGGAGCAGCCGCATGCATCATGGACGTACGAGCGACGTCCATGACCATGCCAATGCGGCGCTCAGCGATCCCATTCTGCTGTGGTGAGTCCGGAAGCGTGAAGGTCTGACGGATGCCTCGCACACGACAGTAGGCACTCAGGAGGGCAGAGGAGAACTCTCCGCCTCTGTCCGAGTGCAGACGCAAAACAGGGAAGTCAGAGCCAAAGCTTCTCCGAAGCTGAAGACGAGCTGCGCGGATCCAGTCGATCAACACCTGAGTGACCTCACCCTTGCTGCGCAAGGGGAAGACTGTGGTGTAACGCGAGTAGTCGTCAACCACCAGCAGGAAGTAGCGCTCCTGACCCTGTCCACGGACGCGGGCTGGGCCCCACACGTCCATGTGAAGCGTCTGCAACGGGGCCTCTGTCGGAGGAAACTGGGAGGAGTGAGGGGCAGCACGCTGGCGCCCCTCGACACAGGGGACACAGGCAGGGCCAGGGCCCGGAGGAAGGGGAGGGAGGGACCGGGGAAGACCAGACACAAGGACCCGCGAGGCCATGCCTCTGAGCCGAAGCAGAGAGGGGTGGCCAAGGCGGTGGTGCCAGAGGAGGGTCTCGTGAGACAGACGACGACACGAACAAGGGGCAGACTCAGGACCAGACCTGGACGCTGCAGCAAACACCTGACCAGACAAAGGGGCCCTACCAGACGCAGTACCTGGAGGAGAAGCAGTGGTCAGTGTGTACAGGCTCGACCCCGGCCGACGTGTAAACGTAGCCAGGTGGCGACCTGTATCCGCCTCCGTACAGTGGGTCACCCGCTGACGAGCAGGGGTGAACTGGTGGACACCTGCATCCTGGAGGTCAGCACCACTCACCAAGTTCGTCGAGAACGAGGGGAGGTAGAGACCAGTCAGGGTGCCAGAGGGGGCCGCCGGACACGGGAGGACAGTGGAGAAGCGAGACAGGACAGGCCCCCCAGAGGGGTCCGCCAGGGACACCGCAACAGGCCGACTCAGCGGCGTGAGAGTGGTGCGGTCCCTAAAGAAGGAGCGAGACGCTCCAGAGTCAAGGGTGAAGGTGTGAGAGGCCGAAGCCGACACAGTACCTGAGAGGGCGGACTCACCAGTACCTGAAAGCACAGACGCACTGGCACCTAGAGCAGCAGCCTCACTAGTACCTGACGCGGCAGTACCAATGCCCGGGTCGGGCGGGAAACACCGGTAACAGTCATCCTCATCACTACCAGTCACAGCATACATAGCAGAGAGAATAGCATCAAAATCAAGATCATAAATAGCTACACCAGCCCTAGACAGCTCTCCCCAGCGGGGGATCTCAGCGGCCTCCGGAAACTGCTGACGCCAGGCGTCGGTCAGGCGGCCAAAGCAGCGACGGGCTGTGTGGGCGCCTCCACACCTCTCCCCTGCACGGTCACCAGTGCGAAGAACGTAGGGGCAGGGACCAAGCGCACCACCGCGCTGACGCTGCAAGTACCACTCACGGAGCTGCTGAGGGCCGGGGACGGTGCGAGAGCGCTGCTGCTGCTGCGGCTGCTGCTGCGGCTGCTGCTGCTGCTGCTGCTGCTGGCGCTGACCACCCCCAGAGCTGCTCCGCTGGGACGAGCCACTCCGACCCCCTCCTCCACCGCCACCCCCGCCTCCACCGCCACCCCCGTCGCCACCGCCACCTCCCCCACCAGGACCGTCGCTCCCACCGCTCCCACCGCCTCCTCCGCTACCACCTCCGCCGCCACCTCCGCCTCCACCGCCGCCACTACTACCTCCACTCCCGCCACCACCCCCCCCGCCACCCCCACTCCCCCCTCCACCCCCACCGCCTCCTCCACCGCCCCCTCTGGCTCCACCCGCTCCCTTGCCCCCCTTGCCCTTGCCAGTGCGGCGTCTGCCACTGGGGGCAGACGCCGCGCCGACCGACTCAAAACCAACGAGGTCGGCCGCAGCGGCAGAGGCGACAGAGGGCAGCAGGGGGGAGGGACCACACCCCTCAAAGATGGGGGTGCGAGGGTCACCCCGAGAGGCCCCTACAGCGACAATACTCTTCTCAGCCGCTAGCAGGGACTCCTCAAGGAGGTCGACAGTGAGAGTGGTGGGACAGACAGAGAGAAACTGGTCCCTAACGACACGAAGGGACTCAGGGAGACGGGTGACGAGAAAGTAGAGAGTGATGTACATGGGAGGAGGGTTCGCAGCGCGGAACTCAGCAGGAAGGGCAGCGCGGTAGCGGGTGTCACTAGCGCGGAGGTGGGTAACGAGGTCAGCGACAGTGGGAAAGGAAGCGAGGTCAGGGAAGAGAAACGGTAGCATGAGGCGGCTAAGGGTAGCGGAGGAAGGGGAGGAGTAGCGCGCAACTACAGCGTCGTACAAGGCCTGAGCGGTCTTGCACTGACTAAAGTGGGCACGCTCAGAGGAAGGGAGGTGGCGACGCACAGCAAGACGTGCAGCAGCATCGCGGGTCGCCCACTTGGAGCGAACGGCAGAGTCAGCATCAGCAGGCGGGGCAGGGACAGCGCCAGAGACAAAGTCAAAGAGAGAGACCTCATCTACCGCATCACACAGTAAGTACAGCTGCAGGTCCTCGATCCAGACGGCAAAGTCAATGGCCCTCCCCTCAGCGTCAAAAGTGAGAACATTGGGGGTGGCCATGGCAGCAGCTGAAAGTCTCACCGGGATGGGAGAGTCGGGTAGGTCAGCAGCAGGCGGCTCGGGCTGCTCGGGCGGCTCGGGCGGCTCGGGCGGCTCGGGCGACTCGGGCGGCTCGGGCGGCTCGGGCGACTCAGGTACCGGGCGGCTCGGCTGCTGCTGGGCGGCTCGGCTGCTGCTGGGCGGTTCGGCTGCTGCTGGGCGGCTCGGCTGCTGCTGGGCGGCTCGGCTGCTGCTGGGCGGCTCGGCTGCTGCTGGGCGGCTCGGCTGCTGTTGGGCGGCTCGGCTGCTGCTGGGCGGCTCGGCTGCAGTGTAGTGGCGGGGCCGGGACAAGGGACGGCGGGGCCGTCAGGGTGCAGCGGTGGGGCCGAGACAGGGGACGGCGGGGCCGTCAGGGTGCAGTGGCGGAGCCGGGACAGGCGCAGTGGCGGGGCCGCAGGAAGCACCCGCGGCTGAGCAGGCTGCGGGGCCGCGTCGTAGGAGGCGGCAGGGCCGCGGCTGAGCAGGCGGCAGAGGCCGCGTCGTAGAGGGCGGCGGGGCCGCGGCTGAGCAGGCGGCGGAGGCCGCGTCGTAGCGGGCGGCGGGGTCGCGGCTGAGCAGGCGGCGGAGGCCGCGGCGTCTGCAGGCGGCGGAGGCCGCGTCGTAGAGGGCGGCGGGGCCGCGGCTGAGCAGGCGGCGGGGCCGCGTCTTAGCAGGCGGCGGGGCCGCGTCTTAGCAGGCGGCGGGGCCGCGTCTTAGCAGGCGGCGGGGCCGCGTCCGAGTAGGCGGCGGGGCCGCGACTGGGTGGCGGGGCCGCGACTTAGTGGCGGGGCCGCGACGTAAGGGCGGGGCCGCGACTGGACGGCGGGGCCGCGAACGAAGGGCGGCGGGGCCGCAGGGGAAGGGCAACTCGGGGGGGGGTCGCTAAAAAAAAGGATCGCGCGCCTCGGGGCGCGCTTCGGTGGGCCCTAGGCGAAGTTCCCACAGGGAACCCGCTCTATACCATGTGAAAGGAATGAACAGGAATGAATTGACTAAGTCAGAGTTGGGTACAAATACAACCCTAGCAAACTGTACCCCATATGTGCTACCCCACTACAGCCTACAAACATGCATCAGCTATAATAATCTGACTTGGGTTTAGGGTTTGAAAGGTAACTAACGCACATGTGTAGAGAAAATTGTGCATCGCCCAGTCTGGCCGGCATTTCGCACTTATAGAGCAACTAGGGCCAAGGAGAATGGAAACGCTCATTTCTCAAAAAATAGAGGGAATCTAGCGGTCTCACTCGATCAGAAGGTGGGAAATATATAAATCTAGTGAGCTAATAATGTTCGAAAGGAATCTAATGCATATGTATATGGAAAATGGTGCATTGGCCAGGTCGGTCAGTATGGGAACTTAGAGTGCAAATGCCAGGGAGAACAGAAGCGCTCAGATCTTGCATAGTACACGGAATCTAGTGGTCTCACTCACATAGAAGGTAGGAAATAAATTCATCTAGTGAACGTAAGGGTTTGAAAGGTAACTAACGCACATGTGTAGAGAAAATGGTGCATCGGCCAGTCTGGCCGGCATTTCGCACTCATAGTGCAGGTGGGGCCAGGGAGAACGGAAACGCTCGTTTCTCAAAAAGTAGAGGGAATCTAACGGTCTCACTCGATCAGAAGGTGGGAAATATATAAATCTAGTCAGCTAAAAAGGTTTGAAATGTATTCAACGCACATGTATAGAGAAAATGGTGCATTGGCCAGGTCGGTCAGTATCGGAACTTAAAATGCAAATACCAGGGAGAACGGAAGCGCCCAGATCTCGCATAGTACACGGAATCAAGTGGTCTCACTCAAATAGAAAGTAGGAAATATATTCATCTAGTGAACGTAAGGGTTTGAAAGGTAACTAACGCACATGTGTAGAGAAAATTGTGCATCGGCCAGTTTGGCCGGCATTTCGCACTTATAGTGCAACTAGGGCCAAGGAGAATGGAAACGCTCATTTCTTAAAAAGTAGAGGGAATATAGCGGTCTCACTCGATCAGAAGGTGGGAAATATATAAATCTAGTGAGCTAATAAGGTTCGAAAGGAATCTAATGCATATGTATATGGAAAATGGTGCATTGGCCAGGTCGGTCAGTATGGGAACTTAGAGTGCAAATGCCAGGGAGAACGGAAGCGCTCAGATCTCGCATAGTACACGGAATCTAGTGGTCTCACTCAAATAGTAGGTAGGAAATAAATTCATCTAGTGAACGTAAGGGTTTGAAAGGTAACTAACGCACATGTGTAGAGAAAATGGTGCATCGGCCTGTCTGGCCGGCATTTCGCACTCATAGTGCAGGTGGGGCCAGGGAGAACGGAAACGCTCGTTTCTCAAAAAGTAGAGGGAATCTAACGGTCTCACTCGATCAGAAGGTGGGAAATATATAATTCTAGTCAGCTAAAAAGGTTTGAAATGTATTCAACGCACATGTATAGAGAAAATGGTGCATTGGTCAGGTCGGTCAGTATCGGAACTTAAAATGCACATGCAAGGGAGAACGGAAGCGCTCAGATCTCGCATAGTACACGGAATCAAGTGGTCTCACTCAAATAGAAAGTAGGAAATATTTTCATCTAGTGAACGTAAGGGTTTGAAAGGTAACTAACGCACATGTGTAGAGAAAATTGTGCATCGGCCAGTCTGGCCGGCATTTCGCACTTATAGAGCAACTAGGGCCAAGGAGAATGGAAACGCTCATTTCTCAAAACGTAGAGGGAATCTAGCGGTCTCACTCGATCAGAAGGTGGGAAATATATAAATCTAGTGAGCTAATAAGGTTCGAAAGGAATCTAATGCATATGTATATGGAAAATGGTGCATTGGCCAGGTCGGTCAGTATGGGAACTTAGAGTGCAAATGCCAGGGAGAACAGAAGCGCTCAGATCTCGCATAGTACACGGAATCTAGTGGTCTCACTCACATAGAAGGTAGGAAATAAATTCATATAGTGAACGTAAGGGTTTGAAAGGTAACTAACGCACATGTGTAGAGAAAATGGTGCATCGGCCAGTCTGGCCGGCATTTCGCACTCATAGTGCAGGTGGGGCCAGGGAGAACGGAAACGCTCGTTTCTCAAAAAGTAGAGGGAATCTAACGGTCTCACTCAATCAGAAGGTGGGAAATATATAAATCTAGTCAGCTAAAAGGGTTTGAAATGTATTCAACGCACATGTATAGAGAAAATGGTGCATTGGCTAGGTCGAACAGTATCGGAACTTAAAATGCAAATACCAGGGAGAACGGAAGCGCCCAGATCTCGCATAGTACACGGAATCAAGTGGTCTCACTCAAATAGAAAGTAGGAAATATATTCATCTAGTGAATGTAAGGGTTTGAAAGGTAACTAACGCACATGTGTAGAGAAAATTGTGCATCGGCCAGTTTGGCCGGCATTTCGCACTTATAGTGCAACTAGGGCCAAGGAGAATGGAAACGCTCATTTCTCAAAAAGTAGAGGGAATCTAGCGGTTTCACTCGATCAGAAGGTGGGAAATATATAAATCTAGTGAGCTAATAAGGTTCGAAAGGAATCTAATGCATATGTATATGGAAAATGGTGCATTGGCCAGGTCGGTCAGTATGGGAACTTAGAGTGCAAATGCCAGGGAGAACGGAAGCACTCAGATCTCGCATAGTACACGGAATCTAGTGGTCTCACTCAAATAGAAGGTAGGAAATAAATTCATCTAGTGAACGTAAGGGTTTGAAAGGTAACTAACGCACATGTGTAGAGAAAATGGTGCATCGGCCAGTTTGGCCGGCATTTCGCACTCATAGTGCAGGTGGGGCCAGGGAGAACGGAAACGCTCGTTTCTCAAAAAGTAGAGGGAATCTAACGGTCTCACTCGATCAGAAGGTGGGAAATATATAATTCTAGTCAGCTAAAAATGTTTGAAATGTATTCAACGCACATGTATAGAGAAAATGGTGCATTGGCCAGGTCGGTCAGTATCGGAACTTAAAATGCAAATGCAAGGGAGAACGGAAGCGCTCAGATCTCGCATAGTACACGGAATCAAGTGGTCTCACTCAAATAGAAAGTAGGAAATATATTCATCTAGTGAACGTAAGGGTTTGAAAGGTAACTAACGCACATGTGTAGAGAAAATTGTGCATCGGCCAGTCTGGCCGGCATTTCGCACTTATAGAGCAACTAGGGCCAAGGAGAATGGAAACGCTCATTTCTCAAAAAGTAGAGGGAATCTAGCGGTCTCACTCGATCAGAAGGTGGGAAATATATAAATCTAGAGAGCTAATAAGGTTCGAAAGGAATCTAATGCATATGTATATGGAAAATGGTGCATTGGCTAGGTCGGTCAGTATGGGAACTTAGAGTGCAAATGCCAGGGAGAACGGAAGTGCTCAGATCTCGCATAGTACACGGAATCTAGTGGTCTCACTCAAATAGAAGGTAGGAAATAAATTCATCTAGTGAACGTAAGGGTTTGAAAGGTAACTAACGCACATGTTTAGAGAAAATGGTGCATCGGCCAGTCTGGCCAGCATTTCGCACTTATACTGCAAGTAGGGCCAAGGAGAACGGAAACGCTCATTTCTCAAAAAGTAAAGGGAATCTAGCCGTCTCACTCGATCAGAAGGTGGGAAATATATAAATCTAGTGAGCTAATAAGGTTCAAAAGGAATCTAATGCATATGTATGTGGAAAATGGTGCATTGGCCAGGTCGGTCAGTATGGGAGCTTAGAGAGCAAATGCCAGGGAGAACGGAAGCGCTCAGATCTCGCACAGTACACGGAATCTAGTGGTCTCACTCAATAGAAGGTAGGAATTCAATTCATCTAGTGAACGTAAGGGTTTGAAAGGTAACTAACGCACATGTGTAGAGAAAATTGTGCATCGGCCAGTCTGGCCGGCATTTCGCACTCATAGTGCAGGTGGGGCCAGGAAGAACCGAAACGCTCATTTCTCAAAAAGTAGAGGGAATCTAACGGTCTCACTCCATCAGAAGGTGGGAAATATATAA